CTTTCGCCGGGCTGCTGCTACACCTGGAAGGCGGCGCCGCCCGACTGACCCATCCAATAGTCCCTGCAAAATGCGTCAACTCTTTCATTACTCGTTTAGTCGATATTTTACATCCTTACCCGTAACTGCAGGGTGCCCAGGGGAGTCGTCGTCCCTGGCTGCCAGGGAGTGCAAACGTGCCCTGGTCAGACCCCCCAGCCTGCTCCCCGGGGGCTTAACAAAACACTGCGCCATCTGGCACAGACTGACCCATCCAATAGTCCCTGCAAAATGCGTCAACTCTTTCATTACTCGTTTAGTCGATATTTTACATCCTTACCCGTAACTGCAGGGTGCCCAGGGGAGTCGTCGTCCCTGGCTGCCAGGGAGTGCAAACGTGCCCTGGTCAGACCCCCCAGCCTGCTCCCCGGGGGCTTAACAAAACACTGCGCCATCTGGCACAGGAGGTACTGCGGCCTAGTGGACAGAGCAGCCATCTGGGAGTCGGGAGACCTGGGTTCTAGTCCTAGCTCTGTCACTGAGCTGCCACGTGATCCAGGGCAAGTCTCGTCCCCCCCCCCAATGACTTGCCTGCCCTGTTTAAGACTATTTGCTCTGGGGAGCAGGGACTGCTGTTCCCTACTAGGGAGGTAAGAGCGTAGCCATGTAAACAGGTAACCAACAACATGGCCCCACACAGCTCCCAATTTGCCTCCTGGGGAGCTGCCCCTGCACTAAAACGATGAGGGGTTTGGAACGGGTCCCATATGAGGAGATTAAAGAGACTGGGACTTTTCAGCTTGGAAAAGAGGAGACTGAGGGGGGATATGATAGAGGGCTATAAAATCATGAGTGGTGCGGAGAAAGTGAAGAAGGAAACGTTATTTACTTGTTCCCATAATAGGGGCCACCAAATGAAATTAACGGGCAACAAGTTTCAACAAACCAAAGGAAGTTCTTCTTCACACAGTGCAGAGTCAACCTGTGGAACTCCTTGCCGGAGGAGGTTGTGAAGGCTAGAACTATAACAGGGTTTAAAAGAGAACTAGATAAATTCATGGAGGTTAAGTCCATTCATGGAGGTTTAAGTCTGGAGCCTCTGTCTGCCAGAGGGTGGAGATGGATGGCAGGAGAGAGATCGCGTGATCATTCCCTGTTCGATTCACTCCCACTGGGGCACCTGGCATTGGTCTGACCGACCTAGTATGGCCGTTCTTATGTCCTCTGTATCTGAGGCAGCAGGGCAGGACAGCAGCCAGCCCCCTGGAGCAGGGCGGCACCGGTTCCCGGGGAGCTGGCTGCCACTCCACGTGTAATTAACATTTTCAGCCTGTTACACGGTCGATCAATGACACATCCGTACAGACACAGCACACTGGGCCTCTAAGCGGTCCTGCAGTGCATACAGCCAGCAGCGCGAGCCAGATTCACCCCGCTCCCAGCAAGAGGCAGACGTACCTTGCTTCCTTTCCGCTGCCTGGGGTTTGCCGCCTTCACCACTTTGGCTGGAGTGGTCTGTTCTGTGAAAGGAGAAACCGAGGCATTAATACCCGAATGCCACAGGTGGCTAGAGCACTCACCCAACGGGCAGGAGAGAGAGGAGGTCACATGGCCAAGTTCCTGACCCGCCGGGGCCAGAGTCCCTCCCCCGATCTGCCCGAGGGGGCCTCCTTTTCCCCACCATGCCTGGAGGGAAGTCGCCCGTCTCAGAGCTACGTGGGTAGGTCTGCACGCCCCCTTCCATATGCCGCGCACAGCAGTACCCAGAAGCAACCGCCCCCCGGGAGAGGAGGAGATGCCAGGAGGAAGTGGAATCAAGGGGACAGGTTGGATGGATCGGTCCCCTCTGCCATCGCCTAAAACAAGCCAGCTCCCTCCCCGGAGAGTCCCCCAGGCCCCTCCCTCTGCAGGCAGGGCAGAAAGACCCAAACCTCCACAGAGACTGGTGTATCCGGGAGGGTACCCAGAAGCAACCGCCCCCCGGGAGAGGAGGAGATGCCAGGAGGAAGTGGAATCAAGGGGACAGGTTGGATGGATCGGTCCCCTCTGCCATCGCCTAAAACAAGCCAGCTCCCTCCCCGGAGAGTCCCCCAGGCCCCTCCCTCTGCAGGCAGGGCAGAAAGACCCAAACCTCCACAGAGACTGGTGTATCCGGGAGGGACCCCCAACCCCACCCGGCCGTTATGGTCCCAGTAGCTCCCCCCCACACTGCAATCCCGCGCCCTGAATTCAGTGAGACTCTCCACAACCCATGTGGCCCACTAATGTCACAGCTAGGCCCTCAGGGCCCCGCAGCACCCTCAGCAGGACAGCACTAGGAGAGGCCTGCTCCCTCTTCCCCAGCTAGCAGGAGGGAGGCTAAAGGAACAAGCACAGGGGGCCAGGTCCTCATTTCCGTCTGCGAGGAGGGAACACGGCTCCCTGGCCGGGCGGAGGTGGCAGAAGCACGGTGTGGAGAGGAGGGGAGGGGAGGGGCGGCTTTGAGAAGGGCTGCGCTCCGGGCGTGAGCCTCAAGCTCCCCGCTCCCTGAAGA